GCCCCTCCCTGAGCCTGGTTCTGCTGGAGGTTTCTTCCTGTTAAAAGGGAGTTTTTCCTTCCCACTGTCGCCAAACTGCTTGCTCATAGGGGGTCATATGATTGTTGGGTTTTTCTCTATATGTATTATTGTAGGGTCTACTTTACAATGTAAAGCGTCTTGAGGCGACTGTTGTTGTGATTTGGTGGTGTATAAATAATAATTTAATATATTTCCTCAATGAATTCAAATGATATTTTTTTCAAGAGCACAAAACCACCTGACAAAGAAACCTCTCAAACCGTGACAGCAATTGTCTGATTGATTTATCTCAACCTAAAGATGCCTTTTAAAAAGTCTACATACCTTTACATTACAAAGTAAACACATAACACACAGTGTAAAATGATCTCATCATCAGGGACCCGTGGTGCATGAAGCTTTTATCACTAGTCACTTCTAATGGCCTATTCAGTATCTATTAAGTGAGCGCAGAGGAGTCAAGGTGTCAGTCTATTGTAAGTACTGTTGAAAGGCGCTGAGACTGTACGTCCAGAATGTGCTCGCTGATTCTGGTTGTGGTCCCACATGGTTGCTATTGAATTATTCCAGGCTTTCACTGACATTCAGTCAAGCCTAAGCAAGAGAGACTTAGGTAAATCTGTATTTAAAAGAAGAACAATTAAACATCTTGAACTGAGCGCTAGTTTCGCTTACCAGGCTGAGTAGGCACCCATATGCTGCAAAGCCACCGCAGACATGCACTTCCTGCATGTTGACCTCTTTACTTTCTCTTCGTCCTTTCCTGTCTGCTTCACTGTCGTATCCAGCAGTAATGGCTGAAAGGCCCAAAAACGTTAAAACAGGAGTGTCCAACTCCAGGCCTCGAGGGCCGGTGTCCTGAAGGCTTTAGGCCATGTCCACACGAATACGTTTGAAAGCGCATCTTTCTCTCTCTCTTTCGGCCTTCCGTCCACACTGAGACGGCGTCTTTGGTCAAGCAAAACCGAGCTTTTTGAAAACGCCCTCCAAAGTGGATACATTTGAAAACACTGTTTTCGTGTCGCAGTGTGGACGGCGAAAACGGAGGCTTTCGAAAACGATGACGCATTTTAGTCATGTAGTGCAGTCATGTGACCAATTCAACTAAGATGGCAGACGGCATCGTACAGCAGTTGTTTTGTTATATATATATAAAGTGAGTCTATATTCCCATTCGTTTTTGCAACTTTGTGCTCTAGTGTTACTCGCAGCAACTCCACCTCGACATTTTGCCGCGAAGTTTCACAGAGCTGGAGAGTAAATAAAGGGCAGGTTGAATCATCTTATGTTTCACACATGCGCAGTACGGGAACATACGCGTTTTCAGTGTGGATGAAAAACAATAGTGTGGATGTGGAGCATAGACGAAACGCCGTTTTCATCAGATGATTAGTTCATTCCCAGGCCTCCGGAGAACTTCAAGACACGATTAGGAGGTCATTTAGCCATTTGAATCAGCTGTGTTGGATCAAGGACACATCTAAAACCTGCAGGACACCGGCCCTCGAGGCCTGGAGTTGGACACCCCTGCCTTAAAACATCTTAAACCATCAGAATTTTTAAGATGTTTTAAAAAAGGAGAAGAATTATTCATGTGATATGACTTGTTTATATTTGTTGTTCAGCAGGTCCTGCTTATGTTCTCCAGTTACTGTAGGATAAATCATTCATTGCTCTCTTTCTCCTCACACTGGCAGAGGTGTGTCTGAAGGCTGAAGCAGTGAGAGCTGCACCAAGACCTACTGTTTACCACACACTGACTGATGCACACAGAGCTGTGGGTGGATAAAGCTGCGCTAGCGTACCAGCAAGACTCTGTGCAAAACCTTTATGTAAAAAATATGCAGCACTGCTCAGGAGAAAATGTCTACATTGTGTCCTGAACATGATTATTCATTTCACAAAACAAATGTGAAATGTTATCACACCATTTTTTAGCCATTATTATGTGCTCGGATTGGACAGCAGGCTGGGACGAGTCCCAGAAAAAGATTTCAGGATTGACATTCAGTGACAAATTGTACTTTGAGCACTGAGAGGACCCGTCGCTATTCTTTCATGGAGGACCAGCTTCATCACCTTATCAAGACTCTAATTCTGCATCTCAATGGGAACCTTTCCTTTCTTATTCACACACCCCACAGTCATCTCAGTTTTTACAAGTCGAACTTGAACACAGCATCTGACCCATTGACTCGGCTTTATTTATTTGGCTTTATTTACCTTTCATTGTTTACTCTGCCCCTCGGGGCTCTGCTTTGACTGCATGTCTCAGAAACAGTCACACTATCTGCCCGTCTCCATTTCAACACAGCTCAAACACTCACTGTGATTTTTCTCCTTCTCCTCAAACAGCTGTTACGTAACCGACTCTGCTCCGAGAAACTCAATGAAGTTCGATCTGACCGCCTCTCTCTCTCCAGGCTGCATACCAATAATGAGCAGCAGGAAAATCTGCCGTCAGGTCCGTGAGCTGCTCACAGGGGACGTATGGCTTCATTCACTGGTATTAATTACTGCATGCAAGTGAGAGCGTGACTCTCTGTTTAGGTGGCCATCAAGTAATAAAAACATGTAAAATATAATTCTGCTGCAAAACATATCCACCAATATATTTGTGGTTGTTTTTGTAGTAGTTTTAGCTGTTGTGAGACTGTAGCTGTTACTTTGAACCTCTTTCGTGGTTATTTTGAGACTCTGTGGTCGTTTTAAGTCCTTCTTTGATTGTTTTGAGTCTGTGGTTCTTTTAACTGTCACTGATTTAAATCGCTGTGGTTGTGTTGAATGTTTGGCTGTTTTCTGATTCTTTGGAGTTGTTTGGAGTCTCTTTGTGCCCGTCTTCAGACCCTGGTGTTGTACTGAGTCTCCTTGTGGTTGATTCTGTGTTTTGGGTGTTTAAAGTCTCTGTAGTCGAGGTGGACTTGTCATGAGACTTTGTGTGATCATTTTAAGTCACTTTATTTGGTTATTTCACGTCTCTTTGTGTCCCTTCGACTCTACTTCTTACTCATTTAGATCTCTTACAATCTTTTTTTAAATGTTGTAACAGCCTCCAGTTCAGTCTTTTGTTAAATGTACAACAACAACTCGCATATTGGTTGTTTCTCAACAAAAATGGTCATTTTCTAAATAACAAGGAATTGACATTTGCGCCTCATAATTTCAAATCTGGATGACACAGCTGCAGCAGCAGGGTTTAACAATGTTGTACTAACGTATTTATCAAAAGAGTTTCGATTGATGATAAATGAACCAATTCTGATACGGTGCTTTTCCACTCTGACGACACACAGCTATGCTTTCTGTCAAACACTCACACACTGATGGACATAACGTGGGGTTAACCCAAGATATCTGATGGACACACAGGGATGGAACCACCAGGTGAAGCACCACCTGCTCTGCCACCTGAGCCACAGCCACCCCACAAAAGAGCCACAAATCACCGTGTTCCTGTTATGAATCAACAATTTCTACTTTTGTTCATTAGCTTCATGTTATTTCTTACTGATCTGTAAAAAGAAAAACATTTTTGGAGCGGGCTGATTGTTGACATGAAAGGTGTACACAAGCTGCTAACACAGTAAGAACACGTTTGTCTTAAAAACTGAAGTCTTATAAAGACGATTTCCTTCCACTGGAACAAAAAAATAGCAAAACGTCCAAACAGGAAGGGTATGACATGCATTCACTTTCACGTTTTAAGTCGATTATTTTATTATTTATTAATTAAAGTTAAATAAAATGCCTTCAGCTCAACGTGACATTTTCCGTCCACATCAAAGTGATGTTCTCACACAGAGGTGTTAATGTGCACGTGTCAGTGGATGTCTGCGCTCCAACACATCAAACTGCTCCACAAACCGTTTGAAGTTGTTGCTGCAGCTCAAACACACTCACAGCTGTGACAGATGTAGCCGAGATCAATAATAATCATCATCATTTAAGAATTAGCAGTCCTACCTTTGCCGCAGCTGGAGCCGGAGGAGCCGGAGCCGGAGGAGCTGTGTGTCCTGGGCGGTGTGAAGTGCGGAGTCTCCAGGCTCGCTGATGTAGCGGGCTCGGAGCCGCTCCTGCTCGCCTCGCTGGCTGAATCCTGCGGGGACGACTCCATCCATCAACCGAAAACAAAAACTCCCTGAAACGAACCGGATCTCCCCCTGTGGTCGGTGCCTGCTACTGAAATATCAAAACCCCACGAACGGCCGGTGGGGTGGTGAGTTTGAACAGCGGCAGAAGCGCGACTGCTGAGCGGCCGTCAGGTCGCTGCTATGAGCGCCGTTTGGAGGAGAAGAAGCCGGGCTGAGAGAGAGGGAGGGCGGCGCTGTAGAGAGCTCGGCTGCCCTCCCTGGAGGCTGACACACGGGCAGGCTGCAGTCTCGAAGCGAGCGCTGTCAAAGTAGCGAGCAGGTCGGAGTGTTTCTGTTGCAAAGACAGCTGGGCTCCTGCACACTGTGTGAACCATGTAAAAGTTTCTGACTGTCAGTTTCTGACACATTATCAGTAAAACAGCACCCAAAGTAAAGGTTCTTGCTGTGAACACATATGAAAATTCGTGTAAAGGCCCTCATTGCTATAAAGCAATGCTGTCAAGCGTACAACTCAGGGGCCAGAACCCCTCAAACAGTTCAATCCAACCAAAATTGCTGCAAAACTGTAAAAGAGAAGAAGGACTTACTTTCATGTCTTACTATCTTCCCACTGTCACTCAAGAATCTGCAGTTTTCCACTTGATTTAACTCAAAAACTTTTCGTATGAAATGTATATATCTACACCACCGCAGGGATGCGCAGAACATATCACTGCAGTTTGTTACCTATCACTTGCATTAAAATGGACCAATGAGGGACCTTTTTTGGGTCATACATACTTGATTAAAGCAAAACCTATCCTTCAAAACTTTACCACCAAACAAGAGAGCTTCACTCTTTGGCCGTGCCAAAAGAATTCTATCCATAAAAGTTGAAAAATGGAATCTGTGATAAACAGCAGCCCTGTCTCTAAACTCTAACGCTCGTCGGCACAAGTCTGACTGTCAGCAAATCAAACCGGGCTGCAGCTGTGACAGAAAGGCTGTAAAATGTGCTCGATACCCCACACTCAGGAAGAAACACCACAGCATGCAATCATTTGCCTTCTTCAAGACCACCAAACTCTCACCATCTAGTATCCATGAGAGGTTAAAGACCTGCTCCAGTTTTCCACAACAGGGACAAAATCATATTGTTCCCTTTGAAGTGGAGATCCAACAAACAGGCAGACTGGTACGGTGGCATAGACCTTCTAAAGGAGGTTAAGGAGTATGATACTCCTGAAGCTGGAGCACACCTCCTCATATCCCATCTTCAAAAGAGCAATCACCAGCTGACTCTGTCCGTCCATCTCATATATATTTTATTTGCTGTCTCTCTTTGTGGAGTTACTAAGTACTGTACATGTAGACGGGATGGACAAAAACATGGCCACTACACAGCGTCTCCCTGACAAGTGAACAAAACGAACTTTTGAAAAGTAGATTTGTTGCACAGTATATCATAGACTGGATGTTTACTGCACGCCGTCTGATCATTGAACACAGACGGCTTTCATCTGGCTGTGGACCCTCCTGCAGCCTCGCTCCGCTCTGTGAACCCTTCCAGCTGTCTTACTGCTTCCCTCTTTGCCTTTTCATCATCGTCAGCTTCTCCTATCACTGATTTCCTTTCTGCCAAAAGCTTCACAATGCCTGGAAGATTTTAAAGGGAGGATATTACTACAGATTTCATCACTCTAATTAGTTCAGATGAATTTTTTTTAAAAAGCTGAATATTATGATTATTTAGAGGACGAAAGCGGCTGACAGTCTTTTTTAGCCCAGAGTGAAAAGCCTCAGGAACATTCATACATTTTACTCCTCTTCATAGAGAAACAATTCAGCAGTTCTTGTGAACCTCCTGGATTATTGCACTGATGCTCTGAATTTTAAGCATTAATCTGGTACAATCGCCTATAAATTATGTACTTGACACATGAGGTAATTGTGATATCTTTGATGCCAATTTTTTCCTGTGACAATGACTATAGATCGTTTTATGCAGAAGCTTTAAAATGATCACATGACCACATGTCACAATTTAAACCAGACCTTTGCGTTTGATCCCGTTTGTGATAATTCGCTGGAGAAAATTCCAAAAAGCACATTTTGAGTAAACTTTAAAGTGTATTATTGCCATATAGCCACAGGTCATATTTTAACATTTCCCAAACTGTTGAATAAGATTATTTTGGAATTATTGTACCAATTCTTGTACTGATGATAATTAAGACCATATAATAGACACTGTACATTTAAACCATTTGCTCAGCCTTACCCTGTCGGCATTGAAATCACTGGACTTAATAAAGAACTGAGTGATTCTAGTGTTGCATGAATTAGACTGTTCCAGACCAGAACGTGATCCCTGCTCGTTTCGACCCACCGCAGATGGACGCTGAGAGACTTTAACATGGGAAATATTCATAGTGTGAAAGTTTGGGAAGGGATATGTGGTATTTTTCATCTCAGTTTTTTTTAGATTTGATTGATCTTGTGGTTCAGCATTGACTCAGAACAATCAACTCTTTACTGAAGTCATGTAGAGAGGCCACACTGTTCTCCCGTTAGAAACAAGATACATAGATTGTACCAAAGCTGATTCATGATTGGTTTTAAGGTTCAGCATTAACTTCAGTAAAAAAAAGAGTCAAACAGGCTGATACAGAGAGGAGGATTGACTTGATGAATGGATCTTTAAATGTGGACATCACTATTTTTCATTTCAAACTGTTGTTTCCTTTAATCATACGTGCTTCATTTTAACTAGTGCTGCAACATTATGAAATACTAAATAACTGGAAAACATTGTGATTGCAAATAGAAGTCAAAAGTGTGCAAGTGTGAAAGATTAGATGTGTATCAGTAATTGCGACTTTCTTAGTGTAAAAGTTGACGTGATCATCTGCAGCATCTACAAAATAAAAGCCTGTTGTTGTTGTTGTAAAGGTCAGTGTGTCAAACAGTCTTCATAAACACAAAGAGGCTTTCACACATCACAGCTGTCTGTACTCTGAACTCTGCCGAAGATTGTTTATAATGTGAAAAAGATCCACCACAGTGTGCTGTAGTCCACACGGATTCACTAAATCACAGGTGTCCAACTCCAGGCCTCGAGGGCCGGTGTCCTGCAGGTTTTAGATGTGTCCTTGATCCAACACAGCTGATTTAAAGGCTAAATGACCTCCTCAACGTGTCTGGTAATG